TTTGAATAAAGTCTGGGGTTTAATCAATAATAATGAATCAATGTTGATATCTCAGTTTTGACAAATGTACCGTGGTTATATAAGGTATTAATATGCTGGGCATGGTGGTCCCCATCTGTAATCCCAGCTATTCAACAGGCTGAGGCAGGAGAATGGCAAGCTCAAGGCCAGCCTCAGCAATTTAGCAAGATGCTGTTTCAAAATAAAAATAAAAAGGGCTTAGAATATATCTCAGTGGCAGAGCATCCCTGGGTTTGATTCCCAGTACCTTTAAAAAATATGTTCATATTAGAGGAAATTGAGGAAGAAGAATACTGTAAATTTGTGTATCATCTTTGCAGGGTTTTTTTTGTAAATATAAAATTATTCTAAAATAAACAATTTATTTTAAAAATGCATAACTTGCTGCCAAATAAGTACCAAGAGAAAAACTCATTACTTAAATGTTTTATTTATAAGAAAAGAGGAAGGAACTGAGGGTGTAGCTCAGTGGTAAAGCACTTGCCTAGCATATGAGAGGCCCTGGGTTTCATCCCCAGTACTGCAAAAATAAGAGAAGGAGGAGGAGAAGGAGGAGGAGGAAAAGAAAAAGAATAATAAGATGATGGTGATTAATTATATCCCTACCTTAAAAGCTTAAAAGGTGAAAGTGCTAATTAATATATAACATATGATGCAATATTATATAATATTCAATAAATTCATGTATGTATTTATATGTTACTGGTCTCTTTCCATAAGCAAAGTTTTGTTTATGTTTTCATATACTTTATTGTTGGGAATAATTTCAGATTTATTGAAAAATTTTAAGGACAGTACAGAGAATTTCCATGTGCCTCACAATTTCCCCCATCTTTAACATATTACATTTTTATGATGTATTTGTTTCACTTAAAGATCCAATATTGATACATTATGAACTATTCCTTTATTCAGGCTCACTTTTATGGATCCAGGATCCCATCCAGGATACCACATTTCCTTTAGGTCTTATGTCTCCTTTGGCTCCTCTTGGCTGTAGTAATTTCTCAGACTTTCCTTGTTTTTTATGACCTTGACAATTTTTAAATTTTTTTTGTAGTTGTAGGTGAACAGCATGTCTTTATTTTATTTGTTTATTTTTATGTGGTGCTAAGAATCAAACCTAGTGTTTCACACATGCTAGGCAAGTGCTCTGTCACTGAGTTACAGTCCCAGCTCATGACCTTGACAATTTTAAAGAGTGCTGGTCAAGTACATTTGTAGAATGCCTTTCTTTTAGAATTTGGTTTTTATCACAATTAGACTATGGCTATGGGTTTTAGAAAGGAAGCCCACAGAAGTAAAGGGCCATTTTTACCACATCATAGCTGGGATACATACTATCAACATGATGCATCACTGCTGATGTTGACCTCGATCACAGGCTGCAGTAGTGTTTATTAGGTTTCTCCACTGTAAAGTCACTCTTTCTCCCTGCTTTCCATACTGTACTCTGGAAAGAAGTCTCTATGCAGAGTCCACTTTAAGGAATTGGCAGTTAGGCTCCCCTCTTTGAAGATAGAACATCTAATAAATTATTGGAAATTCTTTTGCACTGAAGATTTGCCTCCAGCAAGTTTTTTTTTTTTTTTTTTTTTTTTTTTTTTTTTTTTTGTGAGGCTAGTGCCATGCTCATGCCTGTGATCCCAGCAACTTGAGAGGCTGAGGCAGGAGGATCCCAAGTTTAAGAACAGCATCAGCAATTTGGCAAAAGTCTCAATAACTTAGTGAGACTCTGTCTAAAAAAATAAAAGTGCTAAAGAGGTGGCTTATTGGCAAAGCACTTCTGGGTTCAATCTCCAGCACCAAAAGAAAAGAAAGAAATATAAGGGAACAGGAAACATATGGTAACTCCTGCCCTTTGACTAAACGGTTTCAAGATAGCAGGTTCCCCTTGTTAGAGTAGTGTCCCCTAAAATACATCTTGGCATAGAATGTTCTTGGGAAATGTCTTGGGGGAAATGTTCTTTGGTCAATAAGTTTGGGGAATACTATATGCTGTGGTTCGGATATGGTTTTTCCCCTCCAAAATTCATGTTAATATTTGATTTCCAATGTATCAGTATTGAAAAGTGGTGGGATTTTTTTTTTTTTTTTTTTTGGTACCAGGGATTGAATTCAGGGGCACTTACCACTGAGCAACATCCCCAATTATATTTTGTATTTTATTTAGAGACAGGATCTCACTGAGTTGCTTAGTGCATCACTTTTGCTGAGACTGGTTTTGAACTCAAAATCCTCCTGTCTCAGCCTCCTGAGCTGCTGGGATTACAGGTGTGTGCCACAATGCCCAGCCAGGTGGTGGGATCTTTATAAAGTGTCAAGTGCATTAAAGAGGATTAATGCCTTTCTTACAGGAATGGGTTAATTCTAGAAGGCATTAGGTACCTTGAGAGCAGGTTGTTATTAAAGCAAACCTACCCCTTGTGTTTTGTCTCTTTCTCATGTCCCTGTTTCCCCTTTCATGTTCTGCTATGAGTTGAAAAAAGGAATAAGAACCTTGCCAGTGTCATACTCTTGGACTTCACAGACTCTGGAACCATGAACCAAAGTAAACCTCTTTCCTTTATAAGTTACCCAGTCTTTTGTGTTTGGTTATAGCAATAGAAGAGACTAAGTGTATATAACTCTCTCCTCTTAGAAATTAACAGTGAACATTAATCCTACAGTAAAGAAACATGCTTAACATTGTTAACCCAGTGCCTTAAAAACTTAGTAGCACCAATAACTATCCTGGAAAATATGTTTAGGGAAACATCACTAGAGAAGTGAATAAAGACAAAAACTTTCCAAATCAAACTAGCTTAAATCCTCAAAGAAAAAGAACAATGGCTAGCCTCCAGAAGGAGATCTAGCAAGATTAAGAGAGGATAAAAATAATGTTTTATTCATGTTGAAGATAGAGGGTATTAGTGTAGTAAAGGAATGGAAATCAGTGAGAAGTAACAAATTGAACAGGTGGTATCAGTCTGATGTCCCTGTGGGGACATCAATTGATTTTTTTCTTTTGAGTTTTTCAAGTACACATGGTTCCTCCTTCCCATGAGTAGATCCAAGAACATCATTGAGACCCCAAATTGTGGTACATAATTGGCAGTAATAATCAGCCATCCCCCAAGAAGTATTTCATTTACCTCTTTCTCTTGGATAGTTTCTACCACTTAATTATTGACATTTTAGCTCAAGGACGAATCATCTGTCTTCTTTCCACATAGTGACCCAAATACATAAGCTCTGATGACCAAATATACACCAGGGTGCCTGCTTCCTAGATAGACAGGCTCTTGGGTTGCACTCAGGTATTTTTGCACTTGATTTCATGACAAACCATATCCCAGCTCGTACTGGAGAAATATTGGCTCTGTAGGTTATAGCAAGTAACTCATTCTATGGGTTAGTCTAAAAATTTTGGAAAGATGTGGGAGCACATAGGAACTCAAAATGAAAAAGAAGTATAAGCGCACATAGACAGATCTTCATTACAAAAGCTATTGGAGGTTGGCTTCTTTAGTCAATGTCATGGCTAATATCTTTTGTATGCATCAATCCAAACTGGCAGGGAATCAAGTATTTTTTATTAAGTGTTTCTAAGTATCTTATCCTCTCAAAATTCTCATTTTGATATTCATGTTTACTTTCCTCATGTTTTCTTCCATTCAAATATTTGGTTTGAAAACCCAATTTTTATAAGTCCCTCTTTCTAATATTCTTCTCCCTTGGTAAAATGCCAGAGTCCTAATCTGTTTCCTCCCAAACCATTGCTATAGCCATCTCTAAGTGGTCAGTTGTCAGCCCTCCACTTCTCACAATCAAGGATTCATTTTTTTATCAGAACATTATGATTATACATGATAGTAGGAATCATTGTGACAAATGTAGACATGCATGTAACATAATTTGATCAAATCTGTTCCCCAGTACCTCCCCTTGTCCTCCTCCTTCTCCTTCCCCTAATACGCTTCCTCAATTCTGTCTTCCTTCTATTGTCATGAGGTCCCTTTTTTATTTCTTCCTCTCTAGTTTCCACATATGAGAGAAAACATATGATCCTTGACTTTCTGAGCCTGGTTTATTTCACTCAACATCATATTCTTCAGTTCCATCCATTTTACTGCAAATGATATAATTCCATTCTTCTTTATGGCTAAACAAAGCTCCATTGTGTATATACACCACATTATCTTTATCCATTCATTCATTGATGGATACCTAGGCTGGTTTCATAACTTGGTTATCATAAATTATACTGCTATAAACATGGATATGTATGTATTGCTATAATGCACTGGGTTTAATTCTTTTAGAAAAATACTAAGGAGTAGATTTCCATAGTGGCTGTTCTAATTTACAATCCCAAGGGATTCGTTCTTTGTTAGGATTTCAAATTATCACTTCTAAGCAACCAGATCCAAATCTAGAATTCTGGCTGCTCATTCAACTACATTAAATTTGAAAACAGTATAAAAGGGGTTTCCACACACAGGGACTGTGAGTGATAATTCTGCATTTATTGCTCTATTGACTCTTCCCCATAGTCCTGTCAGGCAGATATTCCTAATGCAAGATTATCAGTGAGGAAACTTAAGCTCAGAGAAATCAAATAACTTTGCCTAACCATCTGTGGATTGTAGGATGGAAAATATGAGAAAAATGAAAGTTCAGATATGCCACCTCTCCGCACCACCATCCAGGTTAGCCTTTACAAATTGGTCAGATAGTAAATAGCCCTTACAGTGGGATATAAGAGGTGCTGAATAGGACTAATTGCCTTCAAAACATCTTTCCAAAGCCTTCCTCAGTCCCACTGCTCCTAAAGTACCTCTAAGTCCTCAATTCCTTGAGTTTTCTGAAGCATTCTAAAGTGGAAATATACCCAGGAGAAACAACAATAAACTGAATTACTGACATGTAATCATTTCTAAAATATTTATCAAGCACCATTTATTAAGCAAATGGGATGATACAATAACAACCACTTAGATTTGCTTAGCTCTGCAGATTTGCAGAGCCTCGCCATAATTTATAGAAGTAATTAAGGTTAAGATTGTGATCTTCATTTTACAGATGATGAAATTGTGGCTCAGAGAATTTGAATGACTCACCCAAGGTGACATACTTGATTCCCACTTTGAGAATCAGGGCTTAAATTTAGGTCTTCTTATCTTCTGTCACATATGCTTTCCATTTCTATCACAGTCATTCAAGGAGTTTATAAGTGGGAACTCAAGACAAACATACATGAAGATTTAAATAACAAGATAACAGTATAAGTAATGCCAGAGGATGTTAAAAATGCCAAATAACTGATTCAGACAATAATTACAATAGGAATGACTGGGGAGGTCACCACTGGTAAGATTCTGCAGAGAGGAATTAAAAAATGAAGTGAAACTTAAGCCTGACCTTGGAAACTGGGTAGGAAAAGGACAGCTGGAGAAGAAAGTGATGGAATTCTAGTATGAGGAAAGGATAAAACAAGGTAAGGAGGTGAGAAAGTGCAAGATATGTATGGAGAGAGAAATAAAAGATTGAGTTTACTATAAATGAGGAGATTGCAGTGAGGGAGAATGAGGAATAAGATTGGAAAAAAAACTCTTGAAAATATTTTTTCCTTTTTTTAATTGCTTCTTTTTAGTTGTATATGACAATAGGATTCATTTTGTCATAATTATGGAATATATTTTGTTCTAATATAATTTGTTGGAATAAAATTTGTTCTAATTCAGTCCCCAGAATTTCCCCTTTCCTTCTCCTCCTCGCTCTCACTTTCCCTTCCCTCTCTATTCTACTAATTTTTCTGCTATTTACTTATAGTTTTTCTAAATTAGTGTCTTGTAGATGTACACGGTGGTGAGATGCACCATGGTATATTTATGTATGTACAAGGAAGTTAGGTCAGATTCATTCCACTGTCTTTCCTTATCCCATTTCTCCTCCCTTCCCTTCATTCCCCTTTGTCTACTCCATCGATCTTTAAGGATGTTGATAATAGGAAACTAAGAAATAGTTTTGAGTAAGAGAGTGAAATGCTGAAAATAGTGTTCAAGCAGATTGATCTGGCAATATATGTTGCATAGCATACATTTGTATAGAAAGAGACTGGAGATAAGGACCAGTTAGAAACCTATGACATTCAGTCAGGGAGAAGGAAATAAGAGCCAGTATCAGAAAGGTGGCACTGTAACCATAAAAGAAGGTCAACAGCAACAGGCAAACTAAAGAAAACAATGTCAGAATCTGGTGAGATAAGGACAGAGAAGAATGGGGGTTGCCTGGGAGTTTTTCTAGTTTAGGTGACTGGAAGAAAGAAGATGCTATGAGCAGAAATAAGCAAGACAGGTAGAACTGATTCAGGTAGTTTCATTCCTGATATCTTGGGTTAGAAGTAACAATGAAAGAAACAATGAAGTAACAATGAAGTAACAATGAAAGTGAAACTGCCCAGTGGGCCACTAAAGATGTAGAGGGGAATCTTGGGAGGAAGGTTGGGTTTAAAACTGAGTTGGCATGTTGGAATGAAAGGAGCCCTGGGAATCAAAAGATCTGGGGTCTAGTCTCTGCCCTGCCATTAACTTAGTAAGTCAGGGGCAAGTCATCTCCCTGATTCTGTTTCCGCAACTGGAAAGTAGGCCCTATGTGATCTCTGAGGCATTCTCAAGGCCTATGAGTGAACTGAATTTCATTCACCTACATATACTTTCTCCTCAAGAGAAAATCAACAATATGGTGGGGTTAAGGCATTAAAACATCCCCAAATGCACTGGGTATGGTGATATATATCATAATCCCAGTTAATCAGGAGGCTGAGGCAATAGGATCACAAGTTTTAGGCCAGCTTGGGCAGCTTAGTGAGACTTTGTTCCAAAATGGAAAAAAAACAAAAAAAGATCAGGGATATAACTCAGTGGTAAAGCATCCCTGGGTTCAATCCCCAGTACAAAAAAAAAATTCTATGACTCTGTGGCAGATTTCTATTCACTTAGGTACTAAAGGAGAAAGAGGTGCCAGCAAAGGAGATAGAGAGGAAGTAATCTGAGAAAGAAAAGCAGTAGGAAACAGACTCTAATTTGAAGGGCTAAAAGAAGAAACTAAAATTAAAATCACAATAAATGGGATAATATTCATATCAAATATGACAAAGGGTTAACCTGTATACTAAATAAAGACTGCATATAGATATAAGAATACCACTAAGATGTCAATTGTACAAGGATACAAATAGTAAACATAAGGGAAAGTGTTCAAGCCCATGAGTAATCAAAGAAATAAAAATCAACAAATTAATTTTAACCATCCAAAAAGATTTCTTATAAAGTCTGATGCTAGAGTTGCAAGGGAGCCACACTCATATATCATCATAATATTGAAAATTTGTGCAGTCGTTTTGAAAATCATGATCCATAAAAACAATCACACTCTTTGGAATGGTAATCCCACTCCTGGGAACTTGTCCTAGAGACAGAATGATGAAGAAGAAAAAAAAGCCACACACATTAAGATGTTCAAAGCATAGAAAATTTGAGTTACCTAAATGTCCCATAATAAAGGAATAGTCAAATAAAATATAATTTATAGAAGGAGATAATTTTATGTAGCCATTGAAATGATAAAATATGAAATATATACTAATAGGGAGATATTTATAATGAACAGTTTTTTTAAAAGAGAGAGAGAATTTTTTAATATTTATTTTTTTAGTTTTCAGCAGACACAACATCTTTGTTTTTTGTATGTGGTGCTGAGGATTGAACCCAGGCCGCACGCATGCCAGGCGAGCGTGCTACCATTTGAGCCACATCCCCAGCCCCAATGAACAGGTTCTAAAAGCATAATTTTAAGTGATATGTACATTAGGATTAGACTTCTATAATATATGCATATGTATTCAAACTGATAAAGTATGGAACATGGAAAAATGAAAATGATTGTCTAGGGTTTGAAAGTACAGGTGAATATCTTCTCTCAAAATTTAATATTGTTACAGTGAGAGTTTTAAGTGTTTTTTTTTTTTAATTTAAAAAAATTGTATACAGGACATGCAGGAGAGTCAAGTGAAGTATAGAGGTCAAAGAGGACAAAGGTAGAGAAAAGATCATTAAGGGTCTTGCTTAAGAGGTAATGTATATTCTTCTAAGTAGGAAGGAAACCAGATTCAGAAAACTAAGGAGTGATTTTGTGGTGCAGAAAGAGGCATTATGGTACTCTTTCTAGAAATGTGGCAGTGAGTCACATGCAGTGGCACACACCTGTAATTCAGCAACTCATGAGGCTGAGGCAGGAGGATCACCAAGTTCAAAGCCAGTCTGGGCAACTTAGTGAAATCCCATATCAAAAACAAAAAAGATCTGTGGATATAGCTTAGGTTTAGAGCACCCCTGGGGGTTCAATCCTCAATACCATAAAGAAAAGAAATGTAGTAAGGAAATGAATAAAGATGACTAGAGTGGTAGATAAAACAGATAGCAAGGAAAATATACTAATGGTATGCCTTTCCTTTTTGGAGGAGGTGGTTTTTAAAATGATATGAAATTATTGGTGGAAGAGACTGACAATGATAAAGAGGGATAAAGGAACATGAAAAGGATTCCCTTTTATTCTGGGACATCAGGGAAAGAAAGGGAGAAAGGCAAGGTGAATGTTGAAACAGTTATTGTGAATGAAGAAGGAAGAAGTTGAGGTGTTAGATCTTCTCAATTTTGCAAGAGAAGAGTAGAATGGAATTGACCTTGAGAAGGTAGAAAATACAAGTTGCTATGGAATATTTGCTAGAAATGCAGCAGGCTGAGAGGAATAAGGGCTTAAGAGAAGTTCCAGAACATGAAGTTTTAGTAGGTCAAACCAGCCTTTTACTCTCACTTCATCTGCAATTTCCTCCAATCCTAGAAAAGAGTTCAGTTCAAGGTGAAAATCAAGGTATTTAACTAAAGCTAGATTGCAAGGGGAGGCAGCTCTAAAGGAGCAGACCAACATAAAGTCCAGACAGTTAGTCTTGATTAAGCAAATAGGAGTTAAAGAGACTGAGGAAATTTAGGAGGCTGAATCAATTACAATAAAGAGACATCTTTACTGAGTGGGGCTGGTGGATAGGGTAGGTAATAGGCAAGGAGGTTGTGACTATAGGTGTAAAAGAAAGTGTTCAGATAAGCAACAGTCTAGGCATCAGCCATGAGACTGGAAGACTGGTAAGAAGTGGATAAGGCCAGTCCATTTACTCCTAATGGAAGGGATCCTGGGTATCAGGGTCTGTATACCTAAGGAGACAGAGGAGGCTCCTCAAAGAATGGAAAAGGGGAACAGAGGGCATTGAATCATTTTTTTTCCTACAGTCCAGCCCCTACTCTCTTAGAGAGGTAGGGGGAGATCCCTCAGAAGCCAATAACAATTTGGTATTGCTAGACAAGTAAGAGATCAGACACAGGTCAGCAAGGATGGATAAAAGAAAGGCAAAGCTGGGGTCTGACTCAGGAGACCAAATAAGCTAGAAGGTGATTTCAGAGGGAGGGTGCATGAAAAATGTGAGCTCACTCTTCTCACAAATGCCTACCCAGAAATTTATTTCCCAAGGCTAAGAGGTTAGCTTCCCAAGTTCCATAATCCCACCCAATCCTATAAACCTGTAAATGCTAAGACTGCACTTGGGGAGGGGAGGAGTGAGTGGGTGAGAAACTCTGAGGGGATCCATACCAGTCCCCGTGCCCGGCCCTGACCTCAAAGTCCTAAAGCCTGATCTGAAAGAATTGAGGGCAGATTTATCATTTGTCTGGGGCAGGAGCTAGAGAAAGCAGAGAGACAAAGTGAAGAACTGGCTCTGGATATCAAAGCCTGTCACTACCTCATCTTCTGTACAAACCTGCTCTGCCCCTTAGTGCTGGAATTTATAGATTCACATAGATGTGAAAGCTCCCCCTCTCTGTCTGAAACATCCATTCTCCCTTTCATTAAGTACAAGAGAGCTATCAAATACATTCTGAGCAAACAATATAAAGGAGATCCAATCCCCATTCCAGTTCCAAAGACTGTTATCAACTTGGGCCTTGCCCCTTGAGGTTCCTCAGGGTCCCTACCCCATGGCCGGGATCTACTTCATGACTACCTACCAGTTCAATAGTGCCAGGCCTCCTGCTGCATGTGGGGCCCTGGTATGCAGGCTGCCTGGGGTTGCACCCTATTTTGGCACCTTGGTAGGCAAGACCATCCTGTCTTCAAGGGGAAACCAGGAAGTGGGTGTGGTTGCTACACATGGCACATATGGCATCTGTGATATGCCAGTGTCCATACTTCCTGACTCTGGCTATCATCATGAGATAAATCAGGCCGATCTTTAAATTACCCCACCATCTCCACCCTCTAGTTGAAGGCTCTAGTCTGGCTGGAGAAATGCATGCTGTGGGAGGACATGGGGAAAAAAGATCTGGGGAAGCCTTGCAAAATCAAGAAACAGGACCAATGAGCCCAGGAAGGGACAGAAATAAAGAAAAAGAAGTACAGGCAGAGGAGCAACTGCTACTATCTTTAGCTAAAAAGGAGAGGGCAATTGCAGCTCCTTATAAACTGTCATTTAGGGGTTCCCTCACCTCTGCCCTGCACTCACCCCCTTTTGTCTCACTTCCCAGCTTCCATTGTTACAATCACTCTGCTCTGAGGAGAGGGCAGCTGCTGTCCTGTGGGTGGATGCCCACCTGCAACTGCTATTCTCACGCAGAGATACCAGTGCCAAGGAGGAGGCAGCTCTGGGGGGCTGGGGTCTGCCACCACTACAGAGCTGCCAAAACTGGCGCCGATACTTGTCTCCAGTAAGCAGGTAGAGCACAGGATCTAGGCAGCTATTAGCACTGGCCAAGGGTCGAGTCACTTTGTAGACTACGTTGACAATGTTCAATACCTGGCAGTCAGCTTCAAACAGCCTTGCCAGGTAATAAATTGTACGAGTGATGTGGAAAGGCACAAAGCAGACTGTGAAGACCATCAGCACCACAGTGATGATGCGGAGAGAACGGAGACGAGAAGATGAGTGTGCAGCCCCAGGCAAGGGCCGATACAGGCGCCGGGCCATGAGCCCATAGCAAACCAAAGTGACCAGGCAGGGCAAGCCAAAGAGCAGCCCCATGACTGCTGAACTGAAATGAACATAGTGATCAAATTCCTCAGGTCGAGTGGTGTCATGGCACAGGATGGTGGTCCCCCTGATGCTAGTTGTGACAAAAAATAGGTTGGGCACGAGGCAGCCAGCTACCACCAACCAAACTGCCAGGCAGATGAGGCCTGCGAAACGAGGGTGGCCCCAACGTAGTGCCTGCAGTGGGTGGCAGATGCCCAGGTAGCGGTGCACACTGATGCAGGTAAGGAACAGCACACTGCAGTAGAGGTTCCAGTAGAAGAGAAAGCGGATGAACTTGCAAAACCCAGTGCCAAAAGGCCAGTGGTTGCGGGCTGCATAATAGTAGACGAGGGTGGGCAGCGACAGCACATACAAGGTGTCTGACAATGCCAAGTGGAACATGTAGGTGGCCGTTGCATCCCAGGGTCGTAGGCGGAAAAGGAAGAGCCAGAGGGTTGGGGCATTGAGGCCCAGGCCCAGCACAAAGACAACTGCATAGCTCACAGGTAGCAGAATGAACTTGAAGTCCTCATCAAACCAGCAATCCAGCTCCATCTCATCATCTCCAGGACCTGGGCTTGGGCCTAGAGATCTGAACAACGAGGACTCTGTTCTGGCCATGGCCCCCCTAGAGGTAGAGAGAGCAGAAATGAGAGTAGCTGTATTTCCTTGGTCTCCCAGTCCTGACCTGGGGGAAAAAAGGTAGAAAACAGATTGTGTACATGTAAGAATATGTAACAACAAATGCCATCATTATGTAAAACTAATGCACCAGTAAAAAAATGTGGAAATGGGGGAAAAAGCAGAGGATAGGGAGAATACTGGTTGAAGCACTGGGAAGAACTGGGGGGCATGCATCCAGCTGCAACTCAGACCAGTCCAGCCCCTCTGGGAGCTTTCATGGTCCATCCCAGGGAGTGGTGAGCAGCAGGCAGTGCAGGGACTCAGCTCAGTAGGGCAGTCAGTGGGCTTGGATTGTTCTTACTTTGCAACTGACTCTGTCTTACAGAGCTTGGCTAGCTGAAAAGGATGGAAGCCAACTAGTACTATCCAAAGTGGGAAGATGCCCAAGCCCAAATTGTCTCATAACTCATCATCACAGCTGTGTCCCAGTGAAGAGAGGCATCACTCCCCACAGTGGCTTTACCTCTCCTCTTGCCCTGGTTCCAGTTCTCTATATTCTCTTTGCCTCTGATACCTCTGCCCAACACCTGCCTGCAGCCCAAGAGCTCCATCGCCACCCTTGCACAAGAACTTTGGTAAATCTCCTACCTGTTCCCCTTGAAGTTGAGCCCAGCTGACTCTGTCACCCTTCCCCCTTGGTAGACAGAGGGCATATCCAAGGGGGTGGGGCTCAAGGTGGAGCCTGACTCTCCTCCTGTCCCATTCTGGAACATTGTCAGAGATAGAAAGGCCCTTAAAGATTTATCTAGTCCAACCCACTCAGCATACAGATTGGGAAACTGGGGCCCAACAAGATTACTATTTAACAGCTTTGAAATGATTGTGGGTGCGAGCACACAAGGAAATATCCAAGTTTGCAGATGAGAAAGAAGCCAGGCCACTAGAGATAACTAAATTACAGGAAGATCATATAAGTTTGTGGAAGTGAGTAGCAACATGGGACAAGAATTTTAACATGGGAACTGCAAGACAACAGGTTGAAAGATTTTAGAAAACTGAAACTACTGATATATATCTTAACTCCATATGAGTATAATTATACAAATGTTTGTATAGCCTTACTATGTCTGAGCACTGTTCTAAGGACTTCATACTTATTAATGACCTCACAGGCTCTCTGTTGTAGGTTCTATTACTGTCCCTACTTTGCAAGGGAGAAAACTAAGGTGTAGATAGTTTAAGAATTATGCTAATTAGTGGTAAAATCAAGATTTGAGCCTTTGGATGAGACTCTACTATCCATGACATAATTGCTATCCTTATTTGCCCCTCTAAGCTACTACTGGTCATGATCTGGGAGAGTATCAGCAAATTTTTACTGAGAGCTTTCTATGTGCCTGGTTCAGTTATAGACACTGGTAGTTCACTAGGAGAAAACAAAACAGACAATAACACCCAACTTAATGTGCTTACATGTTACTGGGGGGGGCAATAAAATTAAAACATAAAATATACAGATTGCAATCATCATTGTAGAGAAAAATAAAGGAGCGAGGGGCTATAGGAAAGGAAAAGAGGAAGAGAGAATTGCATTGCTGTTTTAAATATTGGAGTGACTTGAATAAACACCAGGTGCTGTGAGGAAGGTGAAATGTAGAAGATGAGGTCAGAGTTTGGCAGGGACTAGATCATGAAGGTCCTTGGAAGCCATTATTATAACTCTTTGTCTTTTACTGAGAGAATGGAAAACCATTAAGGGTTTAGAGGAGGAAATCGCTATGTCCTTGCTTACATGGTAGAAGGCTCACTGGCCAGCTCTATGTCAAGAATAGACAGCAGGGCTGGGGGCACAGGCAAGACCAGGCAAGAGGCTGTTGGCAATAGAGATGATGGTAACTCAGACCAGATCGGCAGAGGTGGTGAGAAGTGGTCAGATTCTGGATGCACTGTGAAAGTAGAGACAAGTTTTACTGATGAGGGGTGTGAGAGAAAAAAAAAAGAATGACAAATAACTCCAATGTTTCTGGCCTGAGCAATTGGAAGAATGGAAGTCCTCTTGACAGGTGTAGTAAGGCTGTGAGAAAAGCAATTTTGGAGAAAGAGGGGTAATTCATTTTTCATCTTTTAAGTTTGAGAGACCTATGGCACAGGTAAGAGGAAGTGGCAAGGAGGCAGTTCATGCCTCCCTATAGGTGCTAGCCAATAAATTTCCCTTACATACTCCACCCCTTCCTCCACAGTGCCTTATCACTCTTCATCACTCTCAGAGACCCTGGTCTGAATGCAGTGGAAAAGGCATAGAGAGAAGCCTAGATTATTGAGAGCCTAATGCCAAGGAACACTGAATTGTCAGCAGCTGTGGTTCTGGGGCTCCTGAAGCTAACTAAGGCTTCATTAAGTATGGTTGTCTCAGGCACCCTTGCAAACTGAGTCTGGAGAACTCTGAAGAAGAGGTGGGCAGTGATCTTGGGGAGGGGTGAGTAGGCTGGAGCAGAAGCCACTGTGAATGCAGCTGGAATGTAATGAAGACTCTGAACCTGATTCTCAGGTTCTAAGAATGTTGTCCAGCTGGATCCTCAGTGAGAGGAGGAGACAGGCCTGAAAAAGAGGCTCTAGAATCTGGATGGGGAAAACCTGGAGATCCTGCCCTGTGGCAGGGTAGCACATGGGATAAAATGTAGGAGTGATCCAGGTGAGGTGGCACATGCCTATAATCCCAGCAACTCACAAGGCTGAGGCAAGAGGATTGCATGTTTGAGGCTAGCCTCAGCAATTGACACTGCCTCAAAAGAAAATCCCCAAAGGCCTTGCATGTAGCTCAGTGGTAGAGTATCCCTGGGTTTCATCCCGACTACAAACAAACAAACAAACAAAAGTAGGAGTGGAAGAACAGTCATATCCTGAATTCTGGACAGCTAACTGCTGTGATACTGCATTAAAAGCTCAGGTTTTCGAGCTAGAAAGACTTGAGTTCAAATCCTTGTTCTGGCTGGGTGTAGTGGCACACAACTATAATTCCAGCAGCTTGGGAAGCTGAGGCAGGAGGACTGTGAGTTCAAAGCCAGCTTGAGCAATTTAGGGAGGCACTAAGCAACTCAGTGATGCCCTGTCTCTAAATAAAAATATTTTAAAAAGGGCTGGGGATGTGGCTCAGTGGTTGAGTATCCCTGGGTTCAATCTCTGGTACAAAAAAAAATCTTTGTTCTGCTTATTAGTTGTGTGACCATGAGCACTGCTTTGTAACTTAGTTTCTTCACCAGTGAATTGGGGATAATAATTTGAACCTTTTGGAGTTTTCAGAATATGAATTGGTTAATAGGTGTGGAAACACTTTGTAAGCCATAAAATGCCACAAATCCATAAGGCTTTTAAAATAGTATTTTGTTCCCAGGGTTGAATATGGCCTCTTCAGAGGAGATCAAGTCTGACTCAAGGCTTGGTGAACAGCCAAGAGGAAACACCAAACTAGAAAAGCCTCTGCCTGATCCAGCTTCCTGCTCCTACTTCTTTAGGCCTTCTTAGCTCTGCTACAGTTCCTTCACCTGATAGCTTTGTGAGTTTCTGCTTGTCCCTGGACACAGTTGCAGCAGCTGCTGCTGCTGCTGCCACCACTGCCGCCCAGTGGCTACTTTGGGAAAAGACCTCTCCCAATATTTCCCAACCGCCAGCCTGAGCTTCTACTGTCCTCACCTGAGGCAAAATGAATGCAGCGCTGCAGACCAGACTTGCTCTTTTCTCTGAAACTCTTCTTTGGCTTCTGCGACTTTGCATTATTCTGTTTCTCCTATTCCTCTGGATGTTCCGTCTGACTTCTTCCCTGGCTCTATTTTGCCATGCTTTCCCCAAATGTGGCCCTTCTCTTAAGGGGATTCTTCTCCTCTCCTCCCTTCCCTTTCACCACCTCTGTTCCCTCTCTCCCCGCCTTGGAGGATCCACTCTCATGATTTCAACTATCACTTAGATGTTATCAATAATTCTAATGATCAAGAGACTACAACATATAGATCTCTCTCTGATCAAAATTTCTCATCTTGGGGCTGGGGTTGTGGCTCAGTGGTAGAGCACTTGCCTAGTATGTGTGAGGCACTGAGTTCAATTCTCAGCACTGCATATAAATTAATTAATTAAATAAATTTCCATAAACAACTAAAACGTTTTTTAAAATTTCTCTTTCTCTCACATTCTTATATTTGATTTCTACAGAGATTATGGCACACATGCCTAGAACTATACTCATTTGTGTTTTGTTCATTTTCTCCCAACCTTCCCACCCCCACACTGTATCCCAAGCTCTTTGAAGACATATACCTTTTCTTACCTCTGTCTTTCTCAAAGTTTTCCAGGTGTTTTAGATATTTTCCAAATTATATGTGCTGTTGTCCAAAAACTGCCTTCCAGTTCAGAGTTAAGAAAATAGAAGCTGGGTGCTGTGCCACTTCCTGTAATCCTAGTGACTTGAGAGGCTGATGCAGGAAGATCATAAGTTTAAGACTAGCCTCAGCATCTTAGTGAGACCCTGTATCAAGATAAAATTTGTTGGAGAGAGAGAGAGAGAGATATGAATGGGCGGGCTGGGGATATGGCTCAGTGATAGAGTGCCCATGGGTCCAATTCCCAGTGCCACCTATTATAGTTTAGATATGTGGTGTCCTCCAAAAGCTCATGTGTGAGACAATGCCAAGAATGTTCAGAGGTGAAATGATTAGTTTATGAGAGGTATAACCTAATCAATGGCTGAGTCCACTGATATGGATTAACTGGGAGATAGGTTGTGGCTGGAGGAAGTAGGTCACTGGGGATCTGCCTTTAGAGTATATATTTTGTCCCTGATGAGCAGACCTCTCTCTACTTCCTGTTCCATGTCCTGAGATGCTTTCCTTTGCCATAATCTTCTGCAATGATGTTCTGCCACACCTTGAGCCCAGAGGTCTGGAGTCAGGCATCTATGGACTGAGACCTCTGAAACCGTGAGCCCCAAATAAACTTTCCCTCCTCTATGTTGTTCTTGTTAGGTCTTTTAATCATTGTGACAAAAAAAAAAAAAAGCTAACTAAAAC